TTGAGGTTCTGGAGACGAGCAGCTCCACCTGTAGTTGGAGGTGATGATCAGTCTGCTGTGATCCGCGTCCAGCTGCGGGTACATGCTGAAGGTCACGCCCTGCACGCCGGGGTCCTGCGGGTCGGGGCTGCGGCCGGGACGAGGCTGCTTCCTCTGCGTCCGTCTGCCGGCGTCCCTCGAACACGTCTGCCGACCCTGGAGCTCCTTATGCACACTCTCTATGAGATTATTGTTGAGGTCGGCCGGCTGTGAGGAACAGTGTGTGTTTTCAGAGGCGTTCAGAGGGACCCACTCACTCTCAGCATCTCGCTCAGACACCAGACAGGAAGTGAAGTCAAGAGGACAGTCACTTCCTGTGGACGGGACAACAGATTCGTCCCGATCAGAACGGCCCTCGATGTGCAGCACAGACGGTTTTTCGGTCTTCTCACTGGCGCTGATGTGATCCGCTGTGTGTGTCTTTATGAGCTCAGCGAGATCATCGGGATCTTTGATTTCCTCCTCATCTGTGAGCTCGATGACGGAGAAACATGCATCAGCCGGGGCGCTGCTGCAGTTAACAGTGGGACTCTCGGGCTCAAACAGAGGTCTGGATGTCACCACGGTCTCTGTGACGTCTGATGGGTCGAGATCGACCGGACCTCTGTCCTCACAGCCGGACTGCAGCAGCTGCTCGCACTGCTGGTTGATCAGACGCATCACCTCCCATGCGCTGCTGCTGTGCTCAGACTCGTGCATTACAGAGAAAGAGCCGCTGAACTCGGAGTCTTCACAGCTGGAGAGGACGAGTGACCCGGTGTCTTGATTCTCAACATGAGACGGTCCAGAACTCCAGCTCTCGTCGTCCACTGGCGGAGCGAGTTTTGTGGCCTCCTGAAGCAGGAGGAGGATGGTGGACTGGGTCACATGCTGGTGCTGCACATCTTCTGGAGAACACGCATGAGAGCTCATGTTCCCTCATCGGTTTACTGAAACAGAGAGCAACATAAACTGAGACACTCTGAAGCCATTCAAATACAACAGATTTAAACACCCAGGGCGTTCACACAACCTGTCAGAAGTTTGGGGTCAGTAAGATGCTTTAGGCCTGGTTTCACAGACAGGGCTTAGACTAAGCCAGTATTAGGCCATAGTTCAATTAATACATTTAAGTAAATTTTATAAACATGCCTTAGAAAAAAACATTCCTGCTGTGCATCTCGAGACAAAACAAGGGCTCTGACATATTTTAAGGTCAATCAGTGCAAGTTTCTTTCAGTTGCAACAGCTCAGACTTACATTTTAATCTGGGACTAGGCTTAAGCCTTGTCTGTGAAACCGGGGGTTAATGTTTCTTAAAGAAGTCTCTTCTGCTCACCACAGCTGCATTTATTTGATCAAAAATACAGTACAAACAGTGAAATATTATTAGAATTTAAAACAGCTGTTTTCTGTGTGAATATCTGTTAAACTGTAATGTATGTCTGTGATGCGCAGCTGTATTTTCAGCATCATTACTCCAGTCTTCAGTGTCACATGATCTTCAGAAATCATTCTAATATGCTGATTTGCTGCTCAAGAAACATTTCTGATTATTATCAGTGTTGAAAACAGTTGTGCTGCACAATATATTTGTGGAAACTGTGATACATTTTATTTTTCAGGATTCACAGAAAGTTAAAAAGAACAGCATTTATTTGAAATAGAAATCTTTGGTAACATTATAAATGTCTTTACTGTCGAAAAATGTAATGCGTCCTTGCTGAATAAAAGTAGTCGTTTCTTAAAAACAAACAACATAAATGTTTACTGACTCCAGTCTTTTACGCAGTAATATATACAGTATCTGCACTTTTCCAGAGTGATGTATTCGAGAGTTACACATCTGTTCACTGCAGTAAAGATCACTGTGAAAACTGAAGACGCATCTCATTATCATAAAGACCAAACACACAATGGCATAAAGACGAGAGACAGAATTATTATTAATGTAGTTGGGATACGACATCAAAAATCTTGTAGTGGCAGTCCTGAATAACGTTTACCTCAGAACTGACGGAAAATAAGCTGACAGAAAGAAAATAAAGTTGAAAGTGATGATACATTTACTTGGCAGTAATTCATAGTTGAAGAATATTTCGAACGCAGCTCATGCACGTCATAACTCACAATGTAACAGATCGACGAGTTTCCTCTCAGCAGTCGCTACAAAGTAACGGTCAATCTCCCGCGCGCGGCAAGCGCTCCACAGCATCAGCACACCCCCGTTCAGCAGTCCGACCCGAGCACGAGGAGTTTGTGTTTGTGTGATCATGAACAGATGTAAATAAACTCACCGCTGAGATGCTTTCACGTGCGAAGCGACTGTCACGTGACGTGATGAGCAGGTGTTCCGGATCTCACCTGTGCGCCGGAAGCTCAGATTCTCGACAACTAAACGAGTGAAGTGGATAATAGGCTCATTTATTGTAAAGAATGAATGATTAACTCCAAACACATGGATTATGACACGTGACTGTTTATTTTAGACGTCAGAATCAAACATGACATTTTTAATACTGTCCACACCTTCAACAGATTTGTGGTTTCTACATATTTCTGAATAATTGGAGTAGACACAGGAGAAATGTGTGTTTGTTAGTAATGAATGATCTGCAGTGACTGTGTCTCACTGTAAAACACAGGAATGTCTGGAGAGCCTACATCTGCTGGATCAGGGACGGATGGCAGAACAGAGCCATCATACATCAGAGGAGATGTGTAGCATTATCTTTCTGCCGTGTCCATAACTCTCAACACCTTAACATGAATAAAAGCCTGAAATTATTTGTGAAGTGGAATGTTTCTGTCCAGCTCATACTTCACCACAAAAACAACAAAGCAATAATAGGTGTATGAAAAAAAACCAAGCCCGTTTATGCATCATGGCGGTATTTGTTGCACATTCTTTCATTTTGGCTTCCATCAGTAACATATTGTACTACAGTAATGTTTGCTGCAGTACAGTAAGTCATCGAGGAGGATAATGTGAATTATAAAACTATGAATGAAACAACATCTGCATTACAGTCAAGGGAAACAATAAGCAAATGTGCCTAACTGTCATAGAAACAATGCAGAAAATCTTTTTTCATACAAAGAAAAGAAACGGAGAGAAAGAGTTCTCGGATTTTGATGTTTTCAGTTCACCCAAAAATGAAATTCTGTCATTAATCACTCGCCCTCATGTGGTTCCAAACCCGTAAGACCTTCGTTCACCTTCAGAACACAGATGAAGATATTTCTGATGAAATCCCAGACCCTGCAGCGACAGACGGCAAGAGAACTGAAGCGTTCGAGGCTCAGAAAGGCAGTGAGGACATCGTTAAAATAGTCCATGTGACGTCAGTGGCTCAACCGTAATGTGATGAAGCTACGAGAATACTTCTGTGCACAAAGAAAAGAAAAATTCACCGATTTCTTCTCTTGCATGTCAGTCTGCGCCGTGCGTTCACGAGAGTATCACGACACATGTGTGTGCTTTCCTCTGCTCATAAACAAGCCGCAGCACATGCGTGTTCTACGTCAGAACACCGGCTCCTGCGTCAGCCGCATTACACGCATGTGTCACGCTACTGTCAGGACTGACACGCAAGAGAAGAAATCAGTGAATAAAGTCATTATATTTCTTTTCTTTGTGCACAGAAGTATTCTCGTAGCTTCATCACATTACGGTTGAGCCACTGACGTCACATGGACTATTTTAACGATGTCCTCACTGCCTTTCTGAGCCTCGAACGCTTCAGTTCTCTTGCCGTCTGTCGCTGCAGGGTCTGGGATTTCATCAGAAATATCTTCATCTGTGTTCTGAAGGTGAACGAAGGTCTTACGGGTTTGGAACCACATGAGGGCGAGTGATTAATGACAGAATTTCATTTTTGGGTGAACTATCCCTTTAAACCAAAAACTACACTCTCTCTAATGTTGTGGTTATGTGAAGGATAATGAAGCGGCACGCCGGAGTCCTTCACGAGGAAATACCTGAGGACCGAATTCAGCTCAAGAGTTCAGTGCTCTTCAGCTCATAACCCGCTCACTGAGAGCCGCGCGGAGGACGAGGCTGGGTTAGTGTCGTATCCCACAGTGCTTTGCGATCTGGAACGCGGCTCAGTGCGGTTTGGGCACGTGGCCGTCCACGTAGAAGTTCCTGGTGACCTTGGGCAGCGTCAGCTCCATGCCGTCCAGCTCCGGCGTCAGGATGATCTGGCAGCTCAGACGAGAGTTCTCCTGCAGCATCGGAGCCATGTCCAGCATATCGTCCTCCCTGCAGAGACACACACACACACACGTCAAACGACTCGAGATGAGCACCACGATGAGCAGAGCTCTCCTCACCGTTCCTCAGGCTCTGGAAGTTTCTCATAGTGTTCGCTGCTGACGTACACGTGACAGGTGGAGCAGGCCAGAGACGCTTCACAGGCACCTGCGAACAGAGACGAGCTGATGAAGACGAGCCTCAAACACATAGAGATGAAGAGGCGCTGGACTCACCCTCCAGTTCAATGCCGTGCTTGTGCGCCAGGTGAAGAGCATTATCTCCGACCCTCGCCTTGACGGGAATCCTCTGTCCGGAGCGGTCGATGAACACCACATTAACCCTGGAGTAAAGCAGCAGATCCACCCACCCGGCCCGTTTGGGGCTTTTATTTTAAAGTGCCATGTCCATCTACATGCATATTTGTCATCCTTTCAAGATCATATTTTTTACTTTATCTAATGATATACAAGTATAAATAAATTAACTAAAACATAAGCTTATGCTAACATTGAACAATACAATTTTTAGACACAATATTATCAATATCGACTGTTTTTGCTGCAAAGTAGTTCCAAACAGAGTCACAACAGAACATCTGCGGTGTTTCGTGACGTCGAGTTAATGATTCAGTGACCCATTCATAAAGATAGTCACTTGCTTTGTTCCTGAATGATTTTAAATGAATGAATGAATCATAAATGAATTAAACTTTTCCCAACATTTTATATTTCTCTGTTCAATATATGTTGTATTTAAAGCATTAATCTTAAAGTCTGTGTGAATACATCTAAATGCCATTTCTGCAATGCAAAGATGGGGTTTGTCTGACTTTAATGATCAGTTACAGAAAGCATAGATTGTTCTGATGCATGAACTCACACTCGCTGGTCCTCCTCCGGTGAACTGCTGTCTGCACTCTGACACACACCTGACAAACACAAACACAGGACCACAGTTACACACACTCTCATAATAACCCATCAGAGGGAGTGTGTGTGTGTGTGTGTGGGTGTGTGTGTGTGTGTGTGTGAGTGCGTGTGAAGGACGCACCGATGCTGGTCCGCAGGCGTCTGTTAGGAGCTGAAAACCCGTCGACCGCGGCTCCCGTACACACGTTCAGTCGGTAGAGCGGACAAACGCTGCAGTCCCGAGAAACTCGGACGAACCGCTGAGTGAAGCTCACAGCCGCCCGGACCGCCGTGAACGCCGCCATGACACTGTTTTGATCACGTGACCTACGCCGGCCAATAGCAGCCGAGACGTGATGACGACACTACAGAAGCGTTTTATTGTTACTCAATGGTAGTTTCATAAGTATTTAATATCTATATCATTTTTTTAAGTCACGATGTTATTTGGATGTTAATAAACACACAAATAAACATTTTAAAGTATCACTGTTTTCCAGTAAAAGACAATGAAATCGTATACACTTGTAACGACACTGTATCAAGATTTCTTGATATTCATTAAACTGTTCATTTGGCATAGACCTAAGTAAATGGAAACGCCTTTTTAGTTCTCACGCACTGTTCTTTTCTCCTCTAACAATGTACTTATCTAGTTTATAATTTTACAAATGTACTATAACTCATGAGGTTTATTACAAATAGCTAATTATGTTGTTTCACGTGATAAGGCTTTGGATAAAAGCATCTGCTAAAATAATAAATCTAAATGTAGTAATATTATTTGACTTTTAAATCATTTGCAGATATTGGAAATGCAATAAATGCTGCTACTCCTGTTTAGAAGCTGTTATGGGAAAATCTTTTTTCGGGAACATTTTGGCACCTAGTGGAATCATACACTATAAGCTGCAGATAGCTGGAGCAAACTGAACCTGAAACCCCCAAAATAACCCCAGAGCTTAAGGGGTAAATGTATTTATTTTATTTTTACTATGATTGTTTTTTCACATTGACAGTAACACAATAGCTTCTGTTCGCCACACAAATGTCCAGGTAGAGTGTGTGTCCAGCATCCTCCGCCAGAGGGCGACACACACCGCACAGCAGCAGCAGCGTCAGACAAAGCAGTAACACGGGGGAAAGTGAAACAGAGGTTTAGGAAGGGTTTAGTAACGTATTGTTGTACTGTTCCCCATGTTGCTACATTTATGAGCAGTCACTATCGTTTAAAGATAGCATCTGCTGATGAATAAATGTAAATGTGGGTAATAAACACATGCTGATGAACAAAACTGACTCTCACACATTTGGTTGATTTAGTCTTTGGTTTGGTTCTACAGAATCGCTGCAGCTCTCGCTGTGACACCTGAACGACTGATGGAGTCGTTTTAAAGTCAATGTGCAAAACCAAGTGTAAGTTCAGGCGTCTGTCACTGCAAACATTCACAAACATCACAGTGAATTCTGACTGATACCAGCAGTGCTTCAGGCTTTACACAGGAAAACCCCAAAGACATTCCAGACCTGTCCGGGCAGATCCACCTTCAGCTGATCCACTGCTGTGAAAACCACTATATAAAGTATCTCAAGACTCTAAACTAGTTCATCAACCGGCATGAGAAAGTGTGTGTGTGTGTGTGTGTGTGAGAGTGTGTGTGTGTGTGTGTGAGAGAGAGAGAGTGAGAGAGTGTGTGTGTGTGCGCGAGAGAGAGAGAGTGTGTGTGTGTGTGCGAGAGAGAGAGTGAGAGAGTGTGTGTGTGTGCGCGAGAGAGAGAGAGTGTGTGTGTGTGTGCGAGAGAGAGAGTGAGAGAGTGTGTGTGTGTGCGCGAGAGAGAGAGAGTGTGTGTGTGTGTGCGAGAGAGAGAGTGAGAGAGTGTGTGTGTGTGCGCGAGAGAGAGAGAGTGTGTGTGTGTGTGCGAGAGAGAGAGTGAGAGAGTGTGTGTGTGTGCGCGAGAGAGAGAGAGTGTGTGTGTGTGTGCGAGAGAGAGAGTGAGAGAGTGTGTGTGTGTGCGCGAGAGAGAGAGAGTGTGTGTGTGTGTGCGAGAGAGAGAGTGAGAGAGTGTGTGTGTGTGCGCGAGAGAGAGAGAGTGTGTGTGTGTGTGCGAGAGAGAGAGTGAGAG